ACCCAATGTCATATCCATATGAACCTTGAAGTAGTGACTGGAATGTTGGTTCAGTAGGATACCGTTGCGGCATTAAATTTGGCACTGAATTATGCACTACGTACATGTCCTGCAAATTGGCAAAGAACAATGTCATATATTACGCTTCGCAATTACGGGTTGAGTCACATATTATATCCATAAAAAAAATACATATATTGTACTAACACTTACATGATATGTGGGATTCATCAATGACGGAGGAATAGAATTACCACCCATGGGCAAAGATGGAGGAAAATGACGACGGGGAGGAAGAGGTTGAAGAGGAGGAACATGTTGACGAACATAGATCTCTCCTCCAACAGATAATGGAGAAGGTGCAACTGTTGGACTTGCAATAGATTGTGACGAAGCGAAGCTGTTAGCACGGGATTTTTTTTTGGAGTTCGCTATCAACGCCACTTCGAATCCACCTTTTACCCTCCTTTTGCCCTTACTAGTTGCCAGTTTTTTCTTAAATCCTTTTGGTTGCACAACATGATTCACATCTTCGCAATCCACTTCAAAGCTTTGGGTGTCATGATCATTACTTACTTCATTTCCAACACAAAAAAGAGCACCTAACTTGCCTTCAACATTTGCACCTAATGTAGCAAGGTGTGCAATACAAAAATCATAAGTTTCTTCAGTTTCAGCAGCTGTACTTGCTAGTGCTCGAAATGCGGTCATCAATGTCTTATACCGCGAGGCTTGTTGGAATTTTACATCCACTTCAATGTCATTCCCCTTAATGTCCATCACAGTTTCGGCTCTTGCTTGTTTGGTCCACCTCTTCAGAATGTATTGTGGAGGAACCTCTTTCATCTTCAATATGTCTCTAATAACCTTCAATGATTGACAACAGAAGATTCCTTCCCTTTCAAACTTTGTACAATTGCAACCCAATGACCCATCCCTCTCCATCTTCACTTTTCTTGCATGTTTGTTACCAACATCAACAACTTTGTAAATGGTACTAGCCTCGCCATATTCAATTGCTTCTATGTCTGATTCAATTGCTTTTATGATGGCTTTCACCTTTGGCAACCTTTGGCACAAAGCATATCCTGCTTCTAACTCCTTGTATCGCTTCTCGTAAAGTACCCTTTCGAAATGCATGAAGAATTCATTCAAGTTAAAATCAGAATGAATGTAATCCTTCAAAAAAGCATTAAAAGATTCACTGAGTTGTGTGGTACTCATTCCCGCAGCCCATGTTGATCTAACGTAAGGCCAACCCCATTTTTCTTTCACTGCAAAAGTCAATTTCAGCCAATGGTTTTCATGCGCATCATATTTATCAAGCATTTCCGTCCACTCTAACTTCCATTGTATAGCGATCCCGGGTTTACCCTTGTTGTACAGTGATCCGGACATGTGTCCGTGGATGTTGGTAGTTGTTTATTATCTTGTTTGCATCCTTTTGCTTCTTATTGAGTTATAGGATGTGTTGGGCAGGTTTGTTGCAGGTTGGTTGTGTTTGGGAGCCTAGTGTTGCTGCCCAGATTTTTGGACCTTCGCTCGAGCGAGGAGTTAGTCGCTCGAGCGAGAGTGAGGTTCGTGTCTGATGGGTCGAGCCAGAATGGCTTCGCTCGAGCGAGTGTTGTGTCTGGTTCTGGACCTGAGAGTTGTGTTTCTTGGCTCGAGCGAGATTTTCTTGGCTCGAGCGGTCTGGTTCGTTATTCGCTCGAGCGAGAGGTCTGTCGCTCGAGCGTGCTTCTGGTTGCAGACCTGTAGGGTTGAGTTGTTGGCTCGAGCGAGATTTCTTTCGCTCGAGCGCACTTTTGAGTTTTTGGCTCGAGCGAGGGATTCTTGGCTCGAGCGAGAGTTTCTGTGTCTGGTCGCTCGAGCGACCATGTCTTCGCTCGAGCGAGCGTGTTTTATATCAGCGGACAGTAGCGATTTTAAACATCACTTTTTCACTTCATTCTTCTTCCAAACCCTTGATCCGACACACTCTCTCTCTAAACTTACACTCTCTCTAAGATTTGATCTCCCTAGAGTGTGAATCTAGCCTAGGGTCTTTGTTAAAAAGGTAGAGGGCATTGAGAGCTTGGATTTAATCTGAAAAAGTTTGGATTTGGAGCAAGTTGATCTTCGAGTCTTCATCTCATTTTTGGCTCAAACTTCGAGGTAGGGATATCCTACTCCTCTCTATGAGTTTTGTCTTTAAATTTTGGTATTTTGAGAATGTTGGGGTTGGTTTGGTAATTTTGTGAAAGTTTGGGGCTTTTGTGTAATTTTACAAAAGTTGGGGTTTTATTCATAATAAACCTAGATGCATGTTTGGCATAGAAAAATGGAATGATTGTTGAATCATTGATGAAAATGGAACCTAAGGGTTGAAATAGTAATTATGGAAAATGGCCTAATTACATTGTTTAATTAATTGGGATAATTAATTGGTGAGAAATGAGGAAATAAAATGTTGATTGAATATCCATTTGTGCATTTATTTTCTGTATTAGAAATAACTGCTTGGGGCTATCGGTAGAGGATAGTCGAGATTGTTGTAGACAATGCATGATGATTAGGCAAACGAAAACAAGCTTCGAATTTCAAGAGAAGGGACAACACTCAAAGGAGCATAAGCCAAACAACATATCAGAAAGTAATACTACCTTTGAATAGAAGAAATATGATCTTAGAAGTCAATCATAATGACTTACAAGAATAAGATTGGAGGCATCATATGCTTGTCTAGAGAAGTGAAGATAGAGCTTATATGCTTATCTTTGTGATGTGTGGATATAGCTCATATGCTTATCTGTGGATATTGTGGTTATACATATCTGTTGTAGAATGTGGATATAGCTTATTTGCTTATCTGAGAATGTGGATATTGTTGTTATACATATCTGTTGAGGATGTGGTTAGTGCTTATATGTCTATCCGTTGAAAAAGGAAAAATGAAAGGAAACTTGGACTCATAAGTCGTATGACATAAATATGTGATTTATGTGATTGTATCAGTGTTGGCCATCTATCAATTGCTAATATTTTAGTCATTGTCATTGTTGGTTTAGTGTATTTCTACTGGGCTGTGGCTCACCCTATATGGGAATATCATTTTCAGGTGCAGGAAGAATGCCACCTCCAAGGACATAGCTTGGGAGGCTAGAGGCGGACATGTTTTGTCGTTTTACTTTTGATGTATTACATGTAACTTCAAGCCAAGGGCTTAATGTGTAAACGAGTTAGTACTCTTTTGTTGTAACCAAGTGTTAACTTGGAAAGCTGTAAGCCCGTAGGGCATTTTGTTTTGATGTTAACATGTAATACTTATGTAATGGAACTCTAATGAATAAAAGAATGTGGTTAGTTTATATGTAGATGCATGTCTTATTTGATGGGTTTAATGTTATTATTTTGAGGGCGTTACAAGAAGAGAAAAGTAGAAATATCAAACAAAAGATCCCAACTCATATATATATTTTCGTCTTTTCTTTTGTCGTGATAGTGATATATATATATATATACACACAAAAATAATTCATGTAAATAGTTAATTAATGTAATCTTTTTATTTATGAGTAACAATATATAAATAAAAATTTCATATATAAAACTTATAATTTTATTGAGTTTCAACCATATCAATTTATAATAAACAATCTATTAAGATGTCTTTAATTACATAAATGATGCTGTAACATTATTCTGATACAAAATTTATATAAAAATTCTCATGAAATAATGCTTTCTTTTTTTTTTTGTTTATTAATATTAGTGAGAGGTGTGACCTACCGCCCTAATTTTGTGCTGACTTCTCATTAGAACAATGGAACATGGCTTGATTCACCACAAATGTTAATTAATAAATGAAATGGAAAAGTTTGAGCTTTTGGATTTTCTGCATATAAATGGAATGGGCAATTTCAAACCACCCATGTTTGTTGTCGGCACACCCTAGTTTTATAGGGAATGGAGAGGAATGTGCAATTTCAGACCACCCATGTTTGTTGTCGGCACACCCTAGTTTTATAGGGAATGGAGAGGAATGTGCTCAACCCTAATATTCCATGTGGTGGACCCACTACATCAAAAGATCCAATCCAACTTCAAAACATTTGGTTGGTGGGTGGGAAGGATCAACTACACTTAGGACTTGTAACTTATTATTACCTTTAATTATTTTATAATCAAGTATTCAAATTAATTTACATATATTTTAACTTATTTCAAAATTTTAAAATTAACAATTAAAAAACTCCAGTATCCTTTAGAGTTTATCAAGCATTTCCGTCCACTCTAACTTCCATTGATTTGCATCTTCAATATCAAAGAAGAATTTATTTAGTACACCCTTCACCCCCTTATCTTGGAATAAACAGTTAACATGTTTTAATGCATTTTGCATCAAATGCCAAGTACACAATCGGTGAGTTGTGTCAGGCATAACAATGGGTATGACTTTAGCCATTGCAGCATCTTGATCAGTGAACAAATTTTTTGGTGCCTTTCCTGACACAGCCTCTAGAAAATTTTGAAAAAACCATACAAACGATTCGGCGGTCTTATCGTACAACAATGCTGCACCAAATATAACTGTTTCCCTGTGGTGGTTGAATCCCACAAAAGACGCGAAGGGTCTATGTTCTTTGTTTAACTTGTAAGTAGTATCAAAAGTGACAACATCACCAAATTGGGCATAATCCATGATCATTTGGGCATCGGCCCAAAACATATTCGTTATTTTCTCTTCATTATCTAACTGGAAAGCATAAAAGAAGGAAGGATTCTGCAAAGATTTTTCTTTAAAGTATTGCAACACATTGCCTACTTCCCCATATGCTAAACTTTGTTGTCTTTTGGTTCTCAAATAATTTTTAGAATCTAATTTTGTAAACCCAAGACATTGCCTTCCACCAGCTTCCCTACCCATGAGTTCGAAAGACTGGCTTAAACAAAGACCAGATTGTGCCGCCAAATCTAACTGAATTGCTTGGGTAGTCGATATCTTTCTTTGTGACGGCAACATGTGGGCACACTCGGGTGATACAAGATCATGGTTGTGTTTTTCTTTAAAATCAGTCACAACATATTTCCCAGTATTGTCATCTAATTTGACATAAAGTCGAGCCTCACAACCGGTCCTAGTTTCGGCTCTAGGGTTTTTTGACAATGGGTCTCGTTTGTCACCCTTCCGAAATCCCTCCTTGTTGTAAACCAAAAGTCTACAAATAACTTGCTTAGTGACCTTGTTCTTCCTACAAAAATCCCTTCTTATGCTAAACCCCATTCTTCCTCCATATGTATTATAAAAATCATACACACATTGTTCAGAATCGAATGTCATTCCCTGTTTTGGCTTCCAAGCACAATCATTCTCAGGTTCCATATCCATATGAAAATGCAACTGAAAACCCATATAAATAAAATCTTAGCTACATAAATAAAAAATTCATCACATTCCAGTAAAACCTTATCTGTTCACATGACTGATTAAATAAATTATGTTACAAAAATCATTTGGCAAACCTCTGATTAAATACTAAAACTGATTAAATAGAGTGAAACTGATTACATAGAGTGAAACTGATTAAATAGAGTATTCTTCAAAATCTGTGTTAGACCAATGAAATCAATTCAACATATTTACTTTATAGAGTGCAGATCAATTATATTTCAAAATCTGTGTTAGATATAAAATAGAGTGCAGATAGAGTGCAAATGTTGAATTAATTTTGGACATATTTAAAAACCCTATTGATTACATAACAATGAATGAGTGAGGATCTACGGCTAGCATACTCACAATTTTTGAATGTTGAATTAAAAGTAGGGAATTTTGATGAGGATCTGCTGCTAGCATATTCACAATTTTTGAATGTTGATTACATAACCACATGGTAACATACCCTATTGATTTCATTAACACAGATGTTGAATTAAAAGTAAAATCTGTGATTTCAAAATCTGTGGTTTAACACAAAATGAATTAACACATTGGTCCATTAAAAGTAATCTTCAAGTACTGAAACTGATTAAATAGATTTTGAAACTGATTAAAATCTTAAAATACAGAAATTGATTGAAAGCTTCAAATACACATAAGATTAAAATCTTCAAATACAGATAAAATCTGTATTTATAAGGTTCTTCTTGATCAATATTCAATCTGTATATATATATCTTCACATACAGAAACTGATTACAAGCTTCAAATACAGATAAGATTAAAATCTTCAAATACAGATAAGATTAAGCTTCATAAGGAAAAAATGCGGGGGTTTGGAGAGAGTAGTACAATATTAAGCTTCATATACATTAATTTCTGATTTACAGAGACAAAGGGGAATCGACCTGTGGCGTCGTTGGTCCTTGCAACGGCGTGGAGACTGGGTAGACTGGGTCGTCGCCAGTATCGGGTCGCCGTTCGGACAAGAACCACTGAGTGTGTTGAATGAGTGTGTGTTTTCCCACGAAAAGTGCAGACCAACTCTATGTTTTGTTTTGGGCAGGAAAGAATAGAAATTCCAATTTTTTTTTTTTTTTTTTTAATCTCAGCCGTTGGATGTGCAACGGTAGATCTCAGCCGTTGCAAGGACGCACGCTCGTAAACTCTTGCAAGGAGAGGATCTGCACTCCTATTTTCATCCATAATTTTGCCTTTTTGCATTAGAAAATTTAATATAAGAATTATTTGTGTCACATCCTACCTCAAGGAACACATTCTACTCTTTATTTGTTTATTTATGGAAAAATATCACTTAAGTTTTTGTTTTTTCATGAAAAAAGTAGAACTTATTGATATTTTCTCCCTTTTTTCTGTTTTTTTTTTCTTAAAGAAAAAAACTAATTTTTCATTTCACCCATCTTGAAATGCTTATACGATTATTATATAATTTCATCATATTTATCTTAAGAAAATAAATAATTTATATATAACATTTATTTTTTTAAAGACAAATATAATAAAATTATGTAATTGTAATTACCAGATCAATCTATTTTTAATTTTTTTTAATGACTAATCTACATAACCCATAAAATAAACGACTGAAGTTACTAAAATTTAATCATAATCAGCCTATGGGTCCAATTTAACAATTCAATCCACTTCAATGGACTCGTTAGTATTGGGCTTCTTTCCTCATGGGTCATTTTTTTTGTTGTTGTTGTTGTTGTTGTTTTTTTTTTGTTTGTTTGTTGTGTGTTTTTGTTATTTGTTACACAAATTCTTCATTTACATATATGGTAGACCTTTTTGTTAAAAAAAAAATATTTTATTTATTTTCAGCAGAATTTGTAGCAGCAACAACACTCCAATTCTTCTACGGACACAGAATTGATCATAAAATTAATCACATAAAATAATTTTGGCTACACATATCGGATGGTAAGATATCATAAAAGATACAATTTCATTCAGATTGCACCACTTATATATGTAGTTATGTAATCGATTTTGTAGTTGTAGACTTATTGTATATACACTATCTATCTATCTATCTATCTATCTATACTATGTATAAAATGACCACTCATGTTGGTATCCTGAAATCTTAGCTTTTTTGTGTGACAAGCGTCCTTTTTTTTATTTTTAAATTTAAAACAAAAAAATTAGATAAATGGAAAGAGTAGGACTTAAACCAAAATTAGATAAATGGCAAAGTATGACTCAAACCTTAGAACCTTGGGTCTAATGAAGAAGACTCTTACTACTTGAATAGTACACAATATATAATAAATATTTTATTTTATTTTTACTTATTTACATTGCATACGTATTGTATGCACTAACCGTTAATATCTATTTTTTTATTTATACTATTATTAAAAGTGAACATCTCACTTGGCGCCTATGACCTTCCTTATCTCCTTTTACCAAGTATACTTCTATTCTTGCGCTAAGTGTCAATTTCTCCATCCAAAAGAAAAAAAGAAAAAAAAAGTAGCTTTCTATTCTTGTGTCAAGTGTCAACTTCTCTATCTAAAAAAAAAAAAAAAAAAATAGTAGTTAAAAAAGAGGCACAAGACTTGAACCTAAGACTATTCACTTAACTTATTAAAGAACACTTTCATCACTTAAACAATATAGAAAATATGTTGTGAATTCAAAATTAAAATTTATATTTTAAGCACACCCATCGGGTGGAGTTACACCCCTAGCATTGTATAAAGCAAAGACTCATGTTAGTGTCTTGAAACCTTTTTATGTATGCTAATGGTTGTTTTAGAAAGTAACTACTCCATCTATCTCAAAATATTAGTCATTTATTTCATTTTCTATTGTCTCAAAATATTAGTTGTTTTTAAAAAATTAAGAAATAAAATAATATGATTTTCCTATTTTGCCCTAATTTTAAATTTATTAACAACACAAAAAGTACAATTATGATAATTTATATTTTCAAAAAACTATACTATCAAAGGATAATTTTGGAAATTAATATTTTTAAAGTGTAATATTTACTATCAAAAAAAGTTGAATTCTCCAAAATAGACTATTATTTTGGGTTGAATGGAGTATTTTAATTATCTTTTTAATTTTTTACGAGAAGACGTATAAAAAATATTTGAAAAAATGACTTTTTAACTATTTTAGTATCTTTCCAGAACAGCCCCAAGGGCATCTTCAATGGTGTATCAAAATACAAAAAAAATACAAGAATTCAGTACATTTTTTTTGTATTTTTATGTATTTATAAATTTTTTAAAATATTTTTTCACAAATTTTTTATTTTTTAGATACATCTAAGCAAGGTGCATCTAAAAAAGTAAAAAAAAATGTTTAAAATTTTAAAAATATTCACTAAAAATAAAAAAATACAAAAACTAAAAAAGTCAATTTTCAAAAAACTTAATCCAGAAAACTCAAACCAAACACAGTGATTCAATATTTTTAAAGTGTAATATTTATTATCAAAAAAAGTTGAATTTCCCAAAATGGACTATTATTTTGGGTTGAATGGAGTATTTTAATTATCTTTTTAATTTTTTTAAAATGACTTTTTAACTATTTTAGTATCTTTCCAAAACAGCCCCAATGGCATCTTCAATGGTGTATCAATTTCTTCATCAGTTTTGAGTAAAAATTTGAGGAAAAACTATTTTTGATATCAAGTACTCTAACCAAGGGTTTCGCGGCTTTGTCAAATCACTAGTCGATCAGGCAGATGTCCAGCCAATTGACTGACTAGTGCAAAATTTTCACAATTTTTCTTCTTGAGGTTGTCATCTGGGGGGTCGACTAGGAGGACAACCGGCCAGTGTAATTTTTTCACAAACTTTTGCTTTGAGGTGGTGATTCGGTGGTAAAAATCTAACGGCAATGAACAGTAATTTGATGAAAGACATATTTGTCCTCAGTTTGATGAAAGAAAAGTAAAATCCTGGATTTGATACTAATTTGATGAAACCGTTGGAACTAAAAAAGGAACAATTTTTCATCAAATTCAAAATTTAATGATAAGTTTGATATGCGGTTAGAGATGGTCTAAGAATACCTCTTATCAATTTTTTTTGAGGACTTCATCATTTTTTTAAAAATACACTCCTAATTCCATAATTATTAGTAATCATTTTTATATCACCTACTCATAATGATGTACAAATCTTGATGTGAATATGTTGAAAAAATAGAATATCTTAGTGTGAATATGTTGAAAAATAGTATAAAAGAATAATGCGTACCTAGTCGAACTCATATATCTATACTAAGGGTTTGTATACGCGATGCATGCACATTTATATAAAAAAATAATATTATAAAAATAACAATAAAGAAAAATACATATATATTATATGTTGCTTAAGTGACAAGAGCCTTTATTATTCAATCCATTGTCATGGGCTCAAGGCCTGTTCTTCTCTTTGCATAATTTTTAAAAAAACTTTAAATGTAGGGATATTTTGAAAAAATTCAAAATATGAGATACTATTAAAAATTGGGCGCCCATGTGGCATGACCCTTTAAACTCTTTTGAACCTTATCTAAGTAAGTTTGAATTTGAATTCGAAACTTATTTGGATAACCACTCATGATATCTATATCTATCATATCAACTGATATGGATAGATTGATATATATGGTTATATATCATATTATATGGTTAAGATATTGTAGACACCCCATTTTTGACCGACCCTAAGACTCAGACGTCACTGATTGAGTGCTTGGTGATGTTGCATAATGTGCTCATTCAGAAGTTTCAGAGTTGCGGCCGTGAGCCCCGCCTCCGGACTTCCGAACCCTCTTTTGTGCTTTGCTTCGGTTTGCGAACCAGGCTCGATTTTCTTTGTTTCTTTTCCTGAGGGGAAGGAGAGGTCCAGTAGACCATCTCTCAGTGGCCGTGGGCTACATTTTGTGGCCGCAGGCCATTTTGCCCATTTCGG